ACCTTATCAAGCCCCCGACTGGTGGCCTCGCGCCGCCACGGTACCACCAAAAGGGAAACATCGAGCCCTGTTACCACTACCACACTCCGATCCCTACATCGCCATGGCTTTCAGCATCGAACAGACCGGCAGCGATGGCAACAACAAAGTCCGACGAGGCGAAGATTGGCGCCGGAGTGGCCACAATGCGACCTGCACCATGCACGACCAACCGTACCATCACACACCCGACCACTTTATTTCCTTGGGACTCGCTACACTCCGAACCGATCACTCGAAACCCTTGTCTGTTTGGGGACATGACCACGACGGGGCTTATCGCCAACTTCCACTTCGTGATCCTCGAGAAGCCTATGTGATGTTGCTGACCCCGGACGGCCCAACGCTGTGGAGCCACAATGTCCTTCTTTTCGGATCGGCCGCAAGTGTCTGGTCTTACAATCGATTCGGCGACATTCTCGTGGCATGCAGCCGAACGATGATCTTGTCTCCAGCCATGCACTACGTCGACGACTACGGATCTATGGAAGACTCCGACCTCGCCAAAGGCAGCTTCGAGTCCTTCGAGGAGTACAACGGATGTCTCCAGATATCGATGAAGCCCAGTAAACGTCAACCACCGCAAACAGCACATCGTATACAAGGAGTCATCATTTCATCCGACGACGATCACTTGGTCCTCACACCTTGTCCAAAGAGAGTCGAAAACATGTGTAGACAAATCGACACACACCTGGCTACTTCGTCATTGTCCCCCGAGCAAGCCAGGAAGATGGCCGGGAAGTGCAACTTCCTGACTGGGAGACTATTTGGCAAGGTGGGCCGAGCGGCCCTGAAGGCACTTTATTCTCGAGCTCACTCCTACTCACATGCCCTCGACAAGCCCACGCGCTCATCACTGCTCGCCCTCAAGGACATCATACAGCACTGCCGACCAATGACGATACCACGCACACCGACCAAGCCGACATATAGCGTCATCTATACGGACGCATACTTCCGGCTTGGCTCCACCATCTACAAGCCGGGAGACAGCGACATCCCGAATTGGGACTCAAAGTCGACGTCCGACATCGAAAACGGCTGGGCGGCGGTTTGCTTCCACCACGGTGACGTGCAAACCGCCGCCTACTTCCAGGGTCGTCTTCCTTCACTACTTGTTCGACAGTTTGCCTCCGACCAGGCCTTCATCTACCTTCTCGAAGCATGGGTAGCGATACTGGCACCGTTGGTCTTCGAACCGTGGCTGGATCAGTTCTACGTTCAATGCTGTGACAACGAAGCCTCCCGACACGCCCTACTCAAGGGCGTCGGCAAACATCAACCTTTGAATTGCCTCATTGCGGCACATTGGACTTGGCACAATCGACGCAGTATTGCACATCGACTTGAGCGGGTACCCACCAAGGCGAACATCTCCGACGGGATCAGCCGCTTCGAGAACGTTCCGGAGTCTGAGAGCTGGACTAAACTCGATTTGCCTCTTAATGCACTGACGAGTAGAGCTGCGAAGATCATAGGAGATATCCATTTTGCTTCCTCGACGGGTTTTTCCGACTTACCCGAAATTCACCGATTGCACGACCGTTTGCTTTCGATGTTACGCTAATGTTCTTTCGAGTGGCGTTCGCCTGCGATGGGAGGACGCGACCACACTCGATGGGAACCAGTCGGTCCTCCCAGCGGAAGGAAAGATCAACACCGATCTGTAAGATCGACTACTTCGATCTGTAAGATCGAAGCGCAGACTTAACGCCACCGAAGCGGAAGCAGTTGGAAAACACCTCCGCTGAAGCCAGGGATTCATGGCCTTTGTGTGAGAATTTCGTTGTCGTGTAGCACACACTTGTTTGTGCGAAGTGACAACTTCATATCTCACTTAAACACCGAATCGGTCAGGGGATTGACTCACCGATTCATGTCGAATGATTGTATACTCCGTGGCCATTTTGGCGAAAGCTGTTACAGCTTGAGCGAAATTTTGTTTCACCCACCCGTCCCTACCCTCTTCGATATTACTTTAATTTTTCCTCTGCTTCCTGTCTGCGAGCACCGCCTGGGAACCAGTCGGTCCTCCCAGCGGAAGGAAAGATCAACACCGATCTGTAAGATCGACTACTTCGATCTGTAAGATCGAAGCGCAGACTTAACGCCACCGAAGCGGAAGCAGTTGGAAAACATCTCCGCTGAAGCCAGGGATTCATGGCCTTTGTGTGAGAATTTCGTTGTCAGTGTTTTCATCGCAAGGATGCACACGGTTTGAGCACGTTTACTCGGACGAACGGAGATCAGCAAGGAGGGACACGCAGCACCGCAGGGCCAACAAGCGTAATGGGGTGGGGCATTCTGGAAAAATAGTGGAAGGAACCTCGACTTCCCTCGACGTCCATGATCGAACTGTCAGCTATGTATTGAAAGCTCAGCGCCACGTCTACGACAGCGAGGAGGGTCCCCCAAGGGACATCCAGCTTTTGGCAGGCTTTGCCAAAATCTCCGGGCGTACAGCAGGATAGCATAGACTCAGGACAATTCTGAGCTTAAGTTTGGAGTGTTTCAAAACTGCGTCACGAAGCCTGTCTGTGGCTCTCACCGGTAACCCGACCACTTCCAAGTCTGTGAGATTTGTCAAGGGTCTTGCGATACTGCAGTGGACAAATGCACAGCGAGCCAAACAGGTTTCCGTGTGCGCTTTGTTGATCTTTCGTGGAACGCCTCCCACATCCGAAGCTTGAATTTTCGTGCTCCAGGGAGGAGGGTCCCTGTGTCAGCAGTTTGACAGACTCTTTCCTGCTTCTCTTAGCCTGCCATGTCTCGGTTTAGCATCGTCGATTCGAGTTCAAGACCGAAATGATACTTACGGCCTAGGCCTAAACCTTTAAGCCTTGATGAAACGGGGAGTCCAATCTGCAGCCGCAGAGCTTCTGCACACCGTGACCCTGCGGTCCCGCTCCCGATTGAGTTTCAGACGCAGAAAGCCCATGTCGCTCAGTGCCCACGCCTGCTGAGCCGCTTGGCTTTTGCTAATCAGACACTCGTAGAATGATCTCGGTTTCGCCCGGCCAGGTTCAACGTCGTGAGTTCAGAAAGGTTACGGTTACGGTGCTCCTGAGAGAAGGGGTTGTCAATAATTCAATCCGAAGCCTGCAGCAGATACCCGAAACTTTCTCTCCGAAGCCTTTTGTTGGCATCTCCAGGTGGGTCGGGGTCGGTGCCTAGGTGTTGGCAGCCAGTCGAATGTAGTCAGGGTAACTGCACGAAGGTGCATGTATGGTGTGTGCAGCTATCTAACCATCCGACATTCTATCCATCATCCATCCAAGAGTCCATCTATGCATTCGTGCAGGTATGCACGGTCCATCCCCCCGCATAGTGCCAATTTGTTCACCTGCACGTAAACGCATTTCCGGACTCACAGAAACACATACATTGACATGCAAAAATACATATACATGCAAGCATGCACATACATATACTTCCACAGATGCGGCCACATACATATTCGTATGAATACATATCTACACATATACATATATACATATACACATACATTTTTACATATACATATACATGCCCATGCACATACAGATACACATATACGTAAACATGGACATGCACATGCGCATTCACACTCACAATCGCATTGGCGTACATGCACGCAGTCATACATCTTTTATTTGCTTGTTGGTCTGCCCTGACAAGTTGAAAGGGGCACGAACGTCTGCCATGCATTGGATTGCTTCATGTTCAAAGTTTGGTGGCTCGTTACCTTGTTTTCGTACTAAACCGTGCTGTTCGTTTTTCGATCTGGTTTGTTCAAATCAGCATGGAAAACCCTGTGTTGGTCTTGTGATTTTTTGGGCAGCAGAGGCAGGGCAGAGGCCCAGAGAGGAGGCCAAGACGAAGAGGGAAAGACCCGGAGAGACAGAGAAGGACAGACATGGAGGAGAACTGTAGAGGCGGGAGAGCCGACGCGAAATATCGGAGTTCGACGTAGCGAGACAATGGCAGGCGGACGTACCTGCAGAGATGGAGAGAAAGAGGCAGGTAGACGGTAGAATTCACATTGGACTTGTAGGTTCTTTTCTCCTGGCTGCTGTGTTCCTGGGATCATAGGTTTCATTTTGCGAGGTTTCCTTGATAAAGTCTGGGAGTAAGGGTACAAAGTATTTTGGCTGGCCGGGAGTGCGAGTCGGCGAGATTTCTTTAGCAGACCCCTCGGATTATGCCACGCGACCCTTCAGCTAAAGAGACTTGATCTTGGGCTTAAGTCCGGGATTATAGAGAGGAATCAGTAGGATTGATTCTTGCGTTGGCAGCCCGAAGGGTACCGAAGACTGTCGCAGGTAAAGCTGGGGTCCATGGCATCTTTTGCATATTGCGGGCACAACTCCAATAAATTGGATCCAGTTGTGTACTTAAGTTGCACTTGTGCGGAAAAAGCTGTGAGGGTATTCCGCTTGGCGTGGCAGTTACTTTGGAATTAAGGGAGTGCTTCGGATTTGGAAGATTTCCGGAGGGGTGTCACATCACGTTCAAGCTGTTTCGACAAGGCGGTCGTCAGACCAGCGCCTGGCTACACCCGAGCACTTCCTAGCGGTCCGCAATCAATCTGTCAAGAGCAGCGCTTCTGCACATGTTAACATGCCCGCCATCGGTTCAGCTGACAGCATCCAAGCGCCATCTTGAAGGACAAAGCTGCTCCAATCTGGGACCACAAACCAGCCCTTTGATCCCATGTGCGAGCTGTGCTCGGCACCCCGCAACGCAAATCTTGGCTCTTTGATCTCGGCCCCGCGGCTCTTCGTTGCCGCACTGAGGTGGTCGAAACGAACTCCCGAATGCCGAGTCTCTGTGCATCGAGCCTAGCTGTGAGGTTTCTTGTGATGAGGCTGCATTCTGGATTTGAGCATCAGCTGTCCTCCCCCCCACGACGCAAGGCCGTTTGTGCCCTGAGCTTTTGTTTTGGGTCTGGGTCCGTAGTGAGTGCTCCATTTGCTGCCATGGAGCTAACGGCTGTGGCAGAACTCGCTCCCATTGACGTGCAGTCTCGGGTAACTCGGTTCATGAACAAGGTTTCGCATGGAAACCTACAGCGCTTTGCAGAAGTGGCTCAGAAACCTGCGGCTGAAGGCGAGGTGGCTATGAACTTGGCCAGTGGAGACTTAGATCTCATCAAGACTGTTGCCGAGTGTATTGTCGCTCACAGCATTTGGTCGGGCTTCAAGCGCTCCGAAAGTGCCGTCGCTTTGGCTGACATCCTCCTGGCGCTCGACACTCCGAGCCTGAGCTCCTTCGTGGTGGACGCGGTCCTCCGTGACATGGGAGGACACTTCGCTCAGCCATGCACGGACGACGAGAAGGCCAAGGAGGAACAGGCGTCCAGAGTCAAGGAGAGTGCTAAAGCTGTTGCTCGAGATGTCGGACAGCTTTTTTCCAAAGGTCTTTGCCCATTCGTGAAGTTCGACTTGATTCTGCAAGGCATATCCCATTGGAACGCCCTGTCAAAGCAGGATGCAACATCTTCTCCGGAAGCTGAACACTGCGCCCCTGGCTTGCCACAGTGTGTTCTGCTGAGCGGACGCACGGCCGTTTCGCAACCTCGCATCAGCGAGACGGTAGCAGAATTCAAGGACCGGCTTGCAAGCGACCTCGGCATAGGGCCTTCGACTTTCTTCTTCCTGATGGCTGGTAGGGAGCCTCAGCCACATGCGGAGATGAAGGACCTGGGAGAGGTAGAGTCGCTTGGCATCTTTCGGTGCTTGAGCTACTTATGGTGCGGTAAGGCAGTAAGTAGGTTGTTTCGCCCGCATATTTTCCCTTATAAGCTTCAAGTGCCCCCAAACCCATGCCCTCACTCAATCCTCAGGCTTCAAGTGATGGTGAGGACACCGGTGCTCAAGGAGGAGTATCGAGTTGAAGCCGTGTGCATTCTCCTCACCGAGGTTGCGGCAACTCTACAGGCCGGGACTCTAGACGGCTTCCGGTTTTAGGGTTCAAGGATGGGATGAGGATGAGTCATTTAAGAGACATTTCGGTTGTGAGAATGACCTCTTGCCTCTTGAAGCCCCAACCCTCACTCCCCAGTGCCATGATACTCGCATCGTGCGTTTACGTTGCTTCTGTTGACAACGGATAACATTTTGGGAATCTCAGGCTACGGAGCACGGGAAGGACCTCCTGTGTCGGGAGCTGCAGCGGCTCGGGAAGCTCAAGAAGGGGCTCGGCAAGCGCTACCAGTTCATGATCAAGGACCACGGTTTCTTCGGTTTCCGATTCCGCGCGGTTTGGTGCTCTAAGATTTTTGAGCCGTTGAGAGATGGAGGTGCAAGTGTTTGGATGGAAGGGGTTTCGTCTCGGATGGGGTTGCGAATGGTTCCTAAACTGGTAGGGGGGTATCGGAGAGTTGATCCGTAAGACTTTAGGGTTTAGGATTTCTCCGATGCAGGACCTAGAAGACCTGGTTGGTTGCCACGGGAAACGTGGCATGTGAGTCTTGAGATTAGAAACGAGGATATCTCGGCTCGTGGGTATCCCTGCGCGTGTACAGAGGGCATGCTGGCTCGGATCTGTGTACAGGTCGCGAAGCTTGAAAGATTGCGGCCTCTTTGGAACCTGCTTCGCTGACTAAGCGTACACAGTGTTTGGCGGTTACTGTTTGTGCCACATCTGCTTCTTTGCCTTCCACGAGTGCGAAGTCGCAGTCCCCCCGCCCTTAATCGTACCCGGCCCGAACCTAACCATCCCCAGAAAGCTTAGCTTGTTGGCAAGTACCCATCATGTGAGCTGCGCTTGTGGCTCAAGACCGTGCTCCGACGCCCGGCCTGGGTGGTCTTGATGCGAGTCGTGTGATGAGAAATTGGGACCCAGTTTGTAGCATTGTAGCTATACGAAGTCGACTCCTTTGTCCAGTGCCCAAGAATAGCGGCAGACAACTGAAAACATGACCACCCAAGCCGCCGGCAAAGCCATGGTGGCCTCCGACTATGTGTCCAGAAGACTGGAAGACATGAGTAACGATGTCGTTCAGAGCATCCAGGCAGGAATTTCTGCCGTTGCAGATCACATGGCGGCCCGCCACATTGACTTGGATGGAGCCTGTTTGCACTACCGGGATAGAGAAAACTAGACTCCTGGGACGCGTTGGGCAGGTGCTCTTGGCCGAGCAGTTGAACGTGGTATGCAAGGACTTGAAGTGGGAAGCTCGGGAATCCCCACTGCAATTGTCGCTGTGGGCCTGATCTCCGTTGCTTGTACCTTCGGCAAAGCGATGCTTCTGAAGATCTTGAGGTCTTTCGCTACCGACCAGCTGCAGGACGTTGACAAGAAGCCTGAGGCAGAGCGGGGACTGCAGGCTTTACAGCTCTCAGCTCTGCGAGCTCCGTTGCAGTGTTTCAGGGCTCAGGCATGTGGAGGCAGAGGTTAGGATGCCAGCATACTTCATCACAACGAAGGTCATCCAATCCAAGAGCCCCCCCCCCCCCCCCGCGGAGCAGAAGCTCAGACGCCAAGGCTAGGAGTTGCGGAGGTCAAAAACCAGCCTCTGCTTGTATGAAGGCGGAGGCAGCCGACGAGGAGTGGGAGGCTGAGATCTGGAAAGTGAGTCCGGAGGACGGGATGGCAGTCACCCGGGCATCGAAGTCTGGGACGGAGTTTGGGGTCTTGATTGCATGAGATCCAACACAGCACGTCTTGACGCAACATGAAGTTTCTTCAGCAGGGTGTCTTTGTTGGTTGGGTCACATTGCATCACAAAACTAGTAGTTAATGCCAAAAACAGTAGTTAATGATTGCTAAGTGAGAATCTTTCAGACTTTCTTTAGGACAGGTGACAAAGTTTGCTTCAGGACAGCGAACTCGATTGGCCAGCCGCAGAATTGTCCGAGAGCCAGGCATCTCCACCGGAGGGCGTTTACTTTCTCCTTTCTCCTTTTCCGGGGTCTGGATGGGCCGTGAATTGTTTTAAATTTGTTTTAAATTTAAAACTATATGCTTTGTGCTTGTTGGGCTTGGAGTGTAGTGTTCTTGTCGAGCTTGAAGTCAGAGGCGGGGCAGGGCGGCTCATGGGTTGCGAGGTCAGCAGTCTTTTGTAAGACCCAGGCACCAAGCCCGGCGTTCGATGCATACAGCTCTTTCGAATCGGAGGATGGCCACTTGGCTGTCTCGGGAAAGCAGGAACAGTTGAGTTATGGACTTCGTCTTTGAGCCTCTTTCGAGCTTTGAGTACCGAAGCGAAGGATCCTTGAGCCTAAAGTCCTAAAGGCCAGAGCCTCTTGTCCGGGCTTCTGGAAGCAGTCTTGGACTCCATTCAGGGTGGAGCCTTCAGGAGTCATGCAGATGTTGCGAAGGGCGCACAGACCCAGGGTTCCCTTGATGCCTTTCAAGAAAAAGCTTGGCAATGATCTCAAAAAGACCCGAGCTGCCTAGGAGTTTCTTGTCCTTAACACACGAACTCAGGTCGAGAAGTATCCTTCCGCGAGATCGCAGAAAAAAGGGACCTGTCGGAAGGGCCAACGTACAGTTCCTTGGCGATCATGTTGATCTGTGAGCAGCCGCTTGATTTTCTTCAACATACTGGACCTGGTTGACATGCACGCGCGCAGGGCTGTCGTCGTCATAACTGCATGCCCCGGCCCGGCTAGTGAAGCATGCGTATCCCAGCATCCGGCACTTCCCCCAGATTAACGGTGCACGAGGGCTCCGAGAGTTGCAAGGTACCATAAGGTGCCCAAATCCAGGATCGGGAGATCCTGCTTACCCACAGCAGGTATGTTCGCGGAGGCATGCCTGCATGCCTACATCTGCATTCATACTTGATTGTCTGCACAGGCTTTGGCAGCAGTCCTCTCCATCAGATTTGGAATAGTGACGACCAGCTCTCACGCCACCGGGCTTCAATTCGGCTGGTTGGCTGGTTCGCAGCAGATCATTCGACAGTCTCCGAGCGATGCATTGAGGATATCCTTGGGCCATGGGCGCAAGCCACAAGTTTCGTGGGGATGTCTGAGATATTCCTTGCTTCGCACAGAATAGCCAGGGTAGCTGGGTAGCTAGATTCCACGCAAACACCACAGACTTCATAATCCCCGGTCTCAAGGCTCCAGATGTCGCGCAGGGACTTATACGAGTCTAGTTCTAGTCCGATTCTGGGGTCTTGAGTATGTAGATGTGTGTATCCAATGCGTGAGTGACCTCATGTGCCGAGGCGGCGGAGTCTCCAAGAGTTCCGCCGGAATGACTGGGGTGGGCCAGGATTTTGTGGGTCGCCTGTGCCTCGCCAGTGTGTTGAGCATGAACTTGACGCGGGGTTCTAGGGGTTCAGGATTTACAGCTTAGGGTTTGGAGGGTTTCACATTCTGGATCTTGGACCAAACTTATTCGACTTAAAGGGGCCAGCAATCTCACTTTGCTCGTTGAGGCTTCACGGCTCAAGTGCCGTCGGGAATCCTGACGTGTTGGAGGTTTCAGCTGTTAGCTCAAGACATACGCGTAAGGCGAGTCTGGCTTCTGTTAAGAGGCATGCAGGCAAGAATGAAGGTGTGGACCATGCTACCAGTGCATAAATGCAAGTGTATGCCTTCCTCGGGCAGCATTCGTGGCACCAACTTCATCTAGCTGAAGTTTGTGCCATGCTCCAGGTTTTGGTGCAGTAATCAAAGGATGTCTTTAGAGCTTTCCGTGCGACAGTCTACGAGCTGCATCGCGGAGCCAAGGACCCAGAAATCCACCCTGCGTTCGGGAATGGAGGTTCAGGAGCAGCTCTCTGTGATAAATCGAGGCTCCATGTAGGTTTTGCTTTGGACACCTGCCGGACCGGAAGTGTATGTGCTTGAATCTCGGCCGTGTGTTCCCGAACCACTATCGCGGCAAAGCCGGAGATATCTTTTCTTTTCAGTTTAAGTTTGATCCTTGGGCTGCATGCTCTTCCTTTGGCTGCATGATGCAGGTTGAACTCTTTTGGAAGAAACGGACTTGATACTGCCAGAAACCGAAGACAAGATTGCCAGCTTTTGCATCTGCTTCTCGGGGGTTGCTCTCGTTGTTAGACCTCTCTGACCTTGGCCCCGATCTACGAACCTCTCTGATCTTCTTGCATCGCTCCAAACCCTTGAAAATCTTCCAGGAGAACGGCCTCTTGCAAAAAGCTGTGATGAGGCAAGGTGTCGTGAAGTCTCCATGTGGAAGGGTCCCACGCACAATTCGCGATTGACGAGGATTTGGCATGAGAGGCTATGCCAGTCTATTGCATGTGGCCATGCCGTGACAATCCGCCGTACAGGTGTTGCGCTGAATCTTCTTCTCATTGCGTACGGTACTCCGAAGCATGCTATACATCAGCAGGATGAAAGTTTTGTCGCACGAAGATGTCTTTGCTTGGCGGAGGACTGGGAGTACGAAGAAGTTAATTTTACGTGGCCTGGCTAGCGGAGGAATTTCCATGCCAAAATGAACATACACTGTTTTTTTCGTTCCGACGGAGCGTCCTTGCCTGACATCGCGACTTCTTGAAGGAGTCTATGGGGGAAAGGGGCTTGCAAGTATGTGTTAGCAGGCCTACCGAATGCGACGAACTTTCGTCCTGGTGCAGCATGAATTCCATGACCGCTAGTTCGGCCAGGCCAGCATGTGTGAAACCCGCGGGAGGAGGTTCTTTGGACGGGTGCCTACTCGTTTTTAGTCGCGGGTGAGCATCAGCAGGATGAAAGTTTTGTCGCACTAAGATGTCTTTGCTTGGCGGAGGACTGGGAGTACGAAGAAGTTAATTTTACGTGGCCTGGCTAGCGGAGGAATTTCCATGCCAAAATGAACATACACTGTTTTTTTCGTTCCGACGGAGCGTCCTTGCCTGACATCGCGACTTCTTGAAGGAGTCTATGGGGGAAAGGGGCTTGCAAGTATGTGTTAGCAGGCCTACCGAATGCGACGAACTTTCGTCCTGGTGCAGCATGAATTCCATGACCGCTAGTTCGGCCAGGCCAGCATGTGTGAAACCCGCGGGAGGAGGTTCTTTGGACGGGTGCCTACTCGTTTTTAGTCGCGGGTGAGCATCAGCAGGATGAAAGTTTTGTCGCACTAAGATGTCTTTGCTTGGCGGAGGACTGGGAGTACGAAGAAGTTAATTTTACGTGGCCTGGCTAGCGGAGGAATTTCCATGCCAAAATGAACATACACTGTTTTTTGTTCCGACGGAGGAATTAGTGACGTCCTTGCCTGACATCGCGACTTCTTGAAGGAGTGTATGGGGGAAAGGGGCTTGCAAGTATGTGTTAGCAGACCTACCGAATGCGACGAACTTTCGTCCTGGCGCAGTACAGTCGTTTCACATGTGACGGCATACCTTGGCCTGCAATCATCTCGGGCTGCAGACTTCTGATGGTGGCTGCAAGCCCTTTGAGCGCAAAGGCCTGGAAGCAAACGATGCCTCGTGTGGGATGCCATTTGTGCCTTCTGTCGCAGCTGCGCTTGGGGTGGGGAGGGTTTGGCACCCGCAGG